GCCCCCCTCGCCTCGGGCCGGCTGGACGCGATCGCGCGAACGCGTGCGTGTGTACATTCACTTGACCGTTGGCGGCCCCCGCCCGACTGGCGGCCAGTTTCGGGAGAGAAATACACCCATCGCCGGCATCTTAGGCTCCTGGGGTGGCCCCGCGGATCCCGCCACGCTCGAACACCGCCCCGGCACCAAACCACCCCCCTCCACCATCCGGGGGGGGGGGGGGCGAGGAGGCAGGAAGGCTCCAAGAACAGAGACGGGCGACGGGGGCCAGATCAAAAGGCCCATACTTGGATCGCCATCTCCCGGGGCGCGCGACCACAACCCCTCCAGCCCTCCCTCCCCCCTCCTCCTCCCCTCTTCGCGTCGTCGTGCCTCCCTGCTCTGCCCCCCTTGTCCTTCTCTCCGAGCTTCCACCGTTCCCCCCTCCCCCGCCACCATGCTCCCGGCCCGGGGCCTCCTGCTGGCGGCCTTCCTGGTCGCAGCCTTGGCCGCTGCCGCCCTGGCTGGCGAGCCTGGCAAGCTGCTCTGGCTCGGTGCGTTCCCCCTGCCATGCCCTTGGGACTGGCCCCGGCCGGCCGGGGCCTGTACAGACACCCATGCATTGCCTGCCAGTTACCATGTCCTCCACGACGCTGCTTTTTCTCACCGAATCTGTTCGCCCCATCCCCCCTCGCGTGCGCGCGCGCACACACACACACACACACACACACACACACACACAGGCGAAACGGTCTACGGCTTCCAATGGCAGCCGGACGCCGGCATCTTCGGATGCGCCCCCTCATACTCGGCCCTCGAAGTGGCCGGCTTCTCGGTGTGCATCCCTGTCGTCTCTGGCAGCACCTACATGTGCCCACCACTCCATGTGCTCGATGGGGAATACTGCCGGCCGGTGGCAGCCATCCCGCCCGGGTACTTTGCCGACCCCGCGGGCAACCTCGCCCCCTGCCTGGAGATGGAGCCCGACGTGCCGGATTTCCGGTACATGGATGCCGAGTGCGAAAGTCACCTCGACGAGAACAACGAATTTTCCCTCATCTTCACCCGCTGCCCGGTGGGCCATGTTCCCCGCGATGGGCAGTGCATGTTTGCCTACTGCCAGAGTGTGCAAGATTGCCACGGCCGCGTGGCCGGCTGCCTGAGTTGCCCGGAAGGCCGCCTGCTCACCAGGCAGGGCTTCTGCATTGAGAGCGGGATGTGCAAAAAGGCCGACAGGCAGTACTGCCTCGAATTCGACATCAACCGGCTGCCCTACGACGACATTCCCATGGGATACGCGTGCCCGGAGCCGGGCCCCGGCGAGTTGATGGCCCGACGCGCCATCGACCCCCCGGCATCGATGGCCTCCGACATCGTCACCGACAATCCCCACTGCCTGACGGCCATCGGGCCCTTCTCCTTCCACTGTCTCACCTGCCGGCTGGGAATGTCGCTGGTGCCGACCGACGATCCGACCGAGGCCGGCGGCCAGCCGGTGGGCCGGTGCCTGGAGCGCTGCCCGGCCGGGCGCTTCCTCAATGCCCAGGGCATTTGCCAGGCCTGCCCGAGCAATTGCGCCCGGTGCGAAGAGCCCACCCGGTGCCTGCAGTGCCTTCGGTCGCACTTCCTGATGGACGGGGTCTGCCAGGGCACCCAGCCGGACTGTCCGCCGGGGACGGCCTACGAGTTGGTCCCTGGCCGGTGCACCGCCTGCGGCAATCCCCACTGCAGCGAGTGCATGGACAACTTCCCGGATGTGTGCCTGGCTTGCGAGCCGGGACACATCCTGGCCGGGGGTGACTGCCTGCCGGCCAATGGGGGCTGTGAGCCGGGCTTCCGGCTGAATGAAGCCAGCCCCAGCATGCCGGCTGGCACCCTGTGCGTGGCTTGCCCCATCGGCTGTGACACATGTCAAAACAGTGGGTCTTGCGTGGTCTGCTCGCGGGGGTTCGCCCTGAGCCCGGCCTCGGACAATTCGAACTTCATGCAGTGCGTCCATGCGGGCTGTCCCTTCGGGCACTTCCGGCTGCCGGATGCCCCGGCCGGTAGCCCGTGCCTGCCCTGCAACTCCTCATGCCACGGATGCAACCCGGATACCGGGTCCTGTCTCAGCTGCAAGTCGTCCTTCCTGCTGGCCGAGGTGGCCGATGGCACGTCGGCCAGTGGCACCCCCCCTCCCCCGGCCACTCCTCACATGGATTGCCTGGAAACCTGCCCCCCGGGAACCGGCCCGCTCATGGGCCGCTGTCGCCCCTGCCAGGATGCCGGGTGCGGTGATTGCCATCTGTCGAGCGCCTTTTGCATGGTGTGCGCCGCGGGCTTTGTCCACTCGCCGGATCGGGAATCCTGCATGACCGCCTGTCCGGGCGGCCATTTCCCGGAGACCGTGGCCCTTCCTTCGGGGTCGGATTTGCACTACTGCTCGGCCTGCCCGGCCTCTTGTGTTTCCTGCTCCGGGCCTTCCTTCGACCAGTGCACCGCCTGCCAGGCTTCGCGGCTTTTCGTGGCATCCCCGTCGGCCAGCTCGACGGCGGCCACCACCCTGTCCTTGGATCCGCCGCAGGATGCCTTGAGCACCACGGTGACCGGGCACTGTGCGTGGGAGTGCCCGGGCCTGGGCTTCTTCGAGACCGGGTCTCTGTGCCTCAAGTGCCCGGATGACTGTCGGGAATGCACATGGGCCGGTGACGGTCCGACGGGGCAGCCCACCGCAGCCCCGCTGGACTCGCCGCCTCGGCTCAAGTGCACCAGGTGTGCCATCAATTTCCTGCATGCGGGTGCCTGCGTGGCCGCCTGCCCGATGGACACCTATTCCTACAACGCCACGTGCTTGCCCTGCCACGAGGATTGCATCTCCTGCGATGGGCCCCTCCGCCAGGACTGTCGCATTTACACCGACGAGCGTGCGTCCTCCCTGCCTGGCCATCCTGCGTGTGCTTTTGCCCGGCCCGGGATCGGTCACCTTACGGGCGGGCGAGTGGGCGGCGGCCTGTTGACACAGGCACATGCGCACATCCGACATGGTTGGAGGCCTGTCTCTTGTCCCTGCGGTCGCGCCATTGCTGCCATTGCTGCTCCTGCTCCTGCTCCTCCTTGACCCTGACACATGGTGCCCCTGCGCTCCTCTCTCTCTCTCTCTCTCCTGCCCCTTGTCTGTGCCCATGTATGTGTCGTGTGCCGCCGGCGTGGCCAGTGTCCTCCTCCTCGTCGCTCATCATTGCCCTCATGGTGACCATCATCATCTTGCTGATTGTGGCCGTGGTGGTGGGCGTGGCTTTCGCCATGCTGCGCTGGTGGCGGCGGCAGCATCTCCGCCAAACCGAGGCCCACAAGCTCGGCATGGATGGGTACTCCATGGCGGACTCCGGGACCAGCGGCTCGGACTCGCAGCTGGACCAGGAAATGACCGTGCTCAACACCGACCTGGAGCTCTCGCTGCCGGGGTCCGTGTGCTTGGATTTCGTGGATGACATCCGCATTGTCGATCAGTTCGGCCGCCAGGTGGATTTGGACCAGCAGGAGGAGGAGGAGGAGGACCCGACCGTGGCTGCGGCCGCCGGTGATCCCCTCCCGGAGCCCGTGTCTCTGGACCCCACCAGTAAGAAGATCCTGGACAACCTGGAGCTCAGCGGCATCAAGCCCCTGGGTCGGGGCGGCCAGGCCCGCATCTACTCGTGCCATGTGCTGAACGAGCCCATCAACCAGCGCTTCAATGTGGATCAGGCCGTGGTGAAGATCTTCAATGGTATGTGTGCCGGGGGTCATTTTCTCCATGGTTTTGGTGGGGTTTTTTTTTCTTTCCCATGGTCCTCCCTCTCTCTCTCTCTCTGGCATACATCCCTCTCGCAAGAGCGTGGAGGGGAGGTATCCCGCGTGCCTTTCTTCCGTCCCCTTCCTCCCTCTCTTTCGCTCTCTGTTCCCCTCTGCCGTGTGACACTGACCATGCCATGTCCCTTGTGGCTTGTTGGATGCCGCCCGGGGGCGTCGCACGCCATCACAGTGCCTGGCCCGAATGCCCCGGCCAAGGCGGCCATCCAGGCGCGCGTACAGCGCAACAATGAAATCGCCATCATGTGGGCCCTATCGGACAAGCCGGGCATCGCGCGCATGATCGGCTATTGCATGACCCCGCCGTGCCTGGTGATGCAGTACTACACCAGCGACCTGCGCACGCTCATTCGCGATTCCAAAACCCGCCTCAATGAGCAGCTCATCCTCAGCCTCAGCCTGCAGATTGGTACGAGACCTTGCTCTCCTACCGGAGGGGGAGTCCCCCGCCCATGGTGTTCCCGCCCGACTTCCTCCACACGCAAACACACACACACACACACGCACGCACGCGCACGCCCGCACGCACTTCATGCCCCGACCAATTGACTGACCATGGAACTGCTCGCTGCCCGGGCCCGCCGCTGATGCGCGTGCCGCTCCCAGTGGCCGGTGTGCATACCATCCATGCGGCCGGCATCGCCCATTGCGATCTGAAGCCCAGTAACATCTTCCTCGGGAGCACGGTCGGCGGCGATCCGTCCGCCATCCGGGCCTTTATCGGGGACTTCGGCGTGGCGCGCAACATCAATGTCCCCTCGGCCCTGACCATCGAGGATCGCGCAGGCGTGCATGGGCTCTCCGCGCGCTACGCCGCTCCCGAGCTGCTGATTGCCCATCGAAAGCGCATCATGGTCGAGGAGGAGGCCCGCCGGCCGGCCGACATCTACGCTCTGGGGATGCTGCTGTCGGAGCTGCTCACCCGTCGGCCATCATGGAAGGGTGCGTGCGCGTGAGCCTGCGCCTATACACCTCCGTCTCGGTTGACCTGCTGCTTTCTGCCCAGGATCCGCGCCTGCCCCTGCGAGAGGGGCTTTTTCTGTGCCTCCCCCTTTGTTGCCCCCTCCGCCCGGCCGAGCCCCTGCCCCGTGCGCCATGCCACCACTGACCCCTTCTCACCATCCCTGTCCCTTGCCAACAGGCGTTCCGCCCCGGGCACTTTTCGAGCGGGTCCTCAGTGGCGAGCGCCCGCCGCTGCTCCCCCTGCAATCGGACCTGGAGCTCAGCTCCAAGCTCATCGGCCAGCTGGCGTCGGTGGTCGATCAGGCTTGGGATGCCTGGCCCGACCGTCGGCCCTCGGCCGACCAGATTCTCAACCACCTGCGCATGATCAGCCGGCCGGAGTGGATGGCCAATCTTGCTGGGCAAATGTCCGGTCCCGGGCACTGATGGAGGTGGTGGTGCTGCCCCCCTGTGCGGGTTTACCTGCGTGCATCTGCACGCGTGCGCACACACACATACACACGCTCATTGGGCTGAAGGACGGCGGGTAGGCAGGGCCAGGGGGGGGGGACGGAGGATGCGAGTAGGCACCGGATAGCGCAACCGCACGAGCCCCATGTCACACATACACACGTGTCTGCATCCTCCCTCTGCCTCCTCCCTCCCCCCCCCCCCTCCCCTTCCTCCCCCACCCCCGGGAGTCGAGGCAAAGCTTCCCCACGATGTAGTCAGTGGCTCGCATCTGCCTGTCCCCCGCCCCCGCCATCCCCCTCGAGTGTGTGTGTCCTTGGGAATAGCATGCGCCTGCACGCCGGCAAAAGAGAGGCGGGGCAACCCCATCGGACTCAAACAATCAATATATAACCAACAAATGTGCATACCGTGCTCTTCCTGTGCCAGGCGGCCGGAAGGGGGGGGGGCGCCGTGTCGCGAAGTCCTGGCCGCCGAGGAGCATGGCGCAGAGCCAGCACCCGGAGGAGGGCGCTCCTCTCTCATGTGCAGGCCGGGAGAGGGATCCCGCAGGCTTGCAGCCCGATCTGCCCGAATCTCAGTGGGCCTGGGGCCGAGAGCGACGTGAAAATGCCGGAGACAAGAACGATCGGCTGCCCGCGGAGAGTGATCACGCGCACATCACGCCGTCTCGGGGTATTCATCGGCGCCCCGGCCCCCAGCCGGGGGCAAGGCCACCGAAGGCACAACACCTTCTCCCCCCCCCCCCCCCCCCCCCCCCCCATCTCTCCCCGCCCACATCCCTCAGCCGTCTCCTCCCCCCTCCGCCCCTCTGTCCTCTCCCCTTCCGCCTTTGATCTGATCCTCACGCCACCAGCGCGCAATCAACGGTCCCGATCCGCCCATGTCCGTGCGTATCGTCCTGGCACCCCCCCCCCCCATACACACACACACACACACCCACACGCCCGTGTTCTCGCCCTGGCGTCTCCCCCGCTGACTTGACACTCCTTTCCCCCGCCCGGAAGTCATACGACGACTACGGAGTCAATGACGGAGCTGGCGACTACGGGATATCCTACCAACAAGATGTCGGGTGCGCATCCTCCCCCCCCCCCCCCCCCTCACAGCTTGCCACTCTGCCTGACGGTGCCAAGGCGCCCCTCCCTCCCTTCCCCTCTGACCCCACGCCATCCTTCCCGCTCCCTCACCGCCCCCAAATGCCCAGCTACGACCTTGATGGCGACCATGAGGTGTGCCCGTCGGTGGCTGCCGGTGGCAACACCACCCTTGACGACCGCCCACGTATCTTGCTGATGGGCCTCCGGTGGTGCGTGACGCACTCGCTCCTCCCTGCAGCCCCCTCCCCCGGCCACATGCACTCACACACATGGCCCCATCACCCCTCGCCTCGGTCTGCCCCACCCTCAGCTCCGGTAAGTCTTCCATTCAGAAGGTTGTCTTCCACAAGATGTCCCCCAATGAGACCCTCTTCCTGGAGTCCACCAGCAAGGTGGTCCGCAGCGATGTGTCACACTCGTCCCTGGTCCAGTTCCAGGTGTGGGACTTTCCCGGACAGATTGACTTTTTCGACCCCTCCTTCGACGCGGCGCGTATCTTCAGCAATTGCGGGGCTCTGGTCTTCGTGATTGACGCGCAGGATGAGTACATCGAGGCTCTGAGCCGTCTGCATGCCACGGTGGTCCGGGCATACCGGGTCAATCCGAACATCGCCTTCGAGGTGTTCATCCACAAGGTGGACGGGCTGAATGATGAGATCAAGGCGGGTGCGTATGCGGCGGGCCGGCGGGCCTTGCCATTGGGCTAGTGGCTGGAGGCCGGGTGAGCAGGCGGCGGACCGTTCCTTTCTTTTTTTTTTTTTCCGCCTCCACTCCGAGCTTCCAGACATTTGTGTGGCTATGTGGAGCTGACCCTCCTGTCCATGCACATTTACCCTGTGCCCTCTTTCTTTGCCCGCCACTCTCTCCCCCCCCCCTGACCTCGGGCCCACAGAGACACAGCATGACATTCAGCAGCGTGCCACGGATGAGCTGGCTGACTCGCACCTGGACACCATCCATCTGGCCTTCCATCTGACCTCCATTTATGACCATTCCATCTTCGAGGCCTTCTCCAAGGTGGTGCAGAAGCTCATCCCCCAGCTGCCGACCCTGGAGAATCTGCTCAACCACCTGTGCTCGGTATGTGGACACCTCTCGCATTCCCTCCGCCCGGATGTATATTTGCGCGTGCTCACACATGCGCATGTGCTGTCCCCTCTGTCCGGTGCTCCGTCGTCGCGTTCCCCCCGGGCACTTGCCGCCCGGTCGCCCGCTCCCTTGCTCCGATGGTGCAGAACTCCGGCATCGAGAAGGCCTTCCTCTTTGATGCGGTGTCGAAGATTTACATTGCCACCGACTCCTCGCCGGTGGACATGCAAACGTATGAGCTATGTAGCGACATGATTGACGTCGTGCTGGATATGGCGTGCATTTATGGCGCGCCCGACTTGGCCGATCCCTTCTCGATGGAGGCCGGAGCCGGGGCCCTGCCGGATGCCGGGCATCAGGCCCCCGACACCGGGTCGGAGGGCGTGCACCCCCCGGATCACCACCACCACCACCATCACCACCACCATCACCACCACCACTCCTCGCATGCGCATGGCGCCCTGCATGATCACCATCACAATCACCACCACCATGGCCATTCGGACCTGGACCTGGGCTTTGACGATGATCCCTCTGATGCGGGGAAGAGGTCCAGCTCGACGGATGCCCTTGCGGCTCAGCTCCAGCATACCGGTCTTTCTGGCTCGGACGCGGTGGGTGGCTCGGCCACCGGCGGCGGCGAGCCCGACGCCGACGCCCCGGAGTACAACCCCTCGAGTGCCGATGCGCAAATCCAACTGAGCAATGGCATGACCCTGCTTCTGCGTGAGGTGAATCGCCACTTGGCGCTGGTGGGACTGGCCCGGTCGGACGCCCTGTCCGGGCGCCAGGGCCTGGTGGACTACAACATCGAGCGCTTCCGCACGGCGGTTGGCGATGTGCTGGCTGCGCGGGCATCCCGCGGCCCGAATGCCCTGACCAAGACGGTCCTCAGCTCTAACAACTGACTCGCGTGATGACGCACGCCGCGCTGTGTGTCCGGCCCGAATGGAAACATCGGCGGCGTGGCCATACAATCGTGTGCCTCCTCACAAATAAATACAAGCCTGAAGAATGGGAAGAAAAAAAAAGACATACAAACAGGAGCCACTCGCTCGGAAAGAAAATGCCCCACCCACCCATGTGCGTGTGGGTCCTTCAAAGTCGGGGATCGGTGTAAGAGAGGGGGGGTGGGCCCGGGGATGCGGGGGGGCGG